CAGTTCGCGGCGCTGTCCTCCACGCCAGTTCGGCGCGCTGACCACCGGCCAGCTCGCCAAGCTGGAGACGGCCGACCTGCGCGCCGTCACGACCGGCGCGCTGGCCGGCCTGTCGTCCGACCAGGTGGCGGCGCTCGCGAGCGATGCCGTCGGCGCGATGTCCACCGCCCAGATCGCTGCGCTGAGCACCGGCCAGATCAAGGGCCTGACCACGGCGACATGGTCGCCCTGACCTCGGCCCAGGTCGCCGCGCTGAACTCCGCCCAGGCCGGGGCGCTGTCCACGGCCCAGCTCGCGGCCATCGAGACGGCGACATCAAGTCGATCACGACCGCCGCGCTGCGCAACCTCAGCTCCGACCAGCTCGATGCCTTCACGAGCGACCAGCTGCGCGCGCTGTCGACCGCGCAGGTCAATGCGCTGACGACCGCCCAGGTCAACACGCTGGGCACGGCCGACCTGAACAGCCTGTCCACGAGCCAGTTCGCCAACCTGTCCACCGGCCAGGTGCAGGCGCTGTCCACCACCCAGCTCGCAACCTCGGCACCGACAACCTCAACGCGCTGGGCACGGCGCCAGTTCGCGGCGCTGTCGTCCAGCCAGTTCGGCTCGCTGACCACCGGCCAGCTCGCCAAGCTCGAAACCGCCGACCTGCGCGCGGTCACGACCGGCGCGCTGGGCGGCCTGACCTCGGCCCAGGTGGCCGCGCTGGCCAGCGACGCCGTGGGCTCGATGTCCACCGCCCAGATCGCCGCGCTCAGCACCGGCCAGGTGGCCGGGCCTGACCACGGCGACATGGTCGCCCTGACCTCCGCCCAGGTCGCCGCGCTGAACTCCGCCCAGGCGGGCGCCCTGTCCACGGCCCAGCTCGCGGCCATCGAGACGGGCGACATCAAGTCGATCACGACCGCCGCGCTGCGCAACCTCAGCTCCGACCAGCTCGATGCCTTCACGAGCGACCAGCTGCGCGCGCTGTCGACCGGCCAGGTCAATGCGCTGACGACCGCGCAGGTCAACACGCTCGGCACGGCCGACCTGAACAGCCTGTCCACGACCCAGTTCGCCAACCTCGCCACCGGCCAGGTCCAGGCGCTGTCCACCACCCAGCTCGCCAACCTCGGCACCGACAACCTCAACGCGCTGGGCACGGCCCAGTTCGCGGCGCTGTCGTCCGGCCAGTTCGGTTCGCTGACGACCGGCCAGCTGTCCAAGCTCGAGACGGCCGACCTGCGCGCCGTCACGACGGCCGCGCTGAACGCGCTGAGTTCCGCCCAGGTCGCCGCGCTGGCCAGTGACGCCGTGGGCGCGATGACGACGGCCCAGGTCGCGTCGCTGGGTGCCAACCAGGTCGCGGGCCTGACGACGGCCGACATGGTCGCGCTGACCTCCGCCCAGGTCGGTGCGCTGACCTCCGGCCAGGTCGCCAACCTGAGCACCGCCCAGATCGCCGCGATCGAGACCGGCGACATCAAGGCCATCTCGACCGCCGCGCTGCGCAACCTGTCCACCGCGCAGATCGATGCGCTGACCAGCGACCAGCTGCGCGCGCTGACCTCCACGCAGCTCAACGCGCTGACCACGACGCCGCAGTTCAGCGGCATCACGACCAGCGACCTGAACTCGCTGAGCACCGGCCAGATCGCCACGCTGTCGACCACCCAGGTCCAGGCGCTGACGAGCACCCAGCTGGCCAACCTCACCACCGACAACCTCAATGCGCTGGGCACCGCCCAGTTCGCGACGCTGTCGTCCAGCCAGTTCGGCGCGCTGACGACCGGCCAGCTCGCCAAGCTCGAAACCAGGACCTGCGCGCCGTCACGACCGGCGCGCTGGGCGGCCTGAACTCCGACCAGGTCGCCGCCCTGGCGAGCGACGCCGTCGGCTCGATGTCCACCGCCAGATCGCCGCGCTCAGCACCAGCCAGATCAAGGGCCTGACCACGGGCGACATGGTCGCCCTGACCTCGGCCCAGGTCGCCGCGCTGAACTCCGCCCAGGCGGCGCCCTGTCGACCGCCCAGCTCGCGGCCATCGAGACGGCGACATCAAGTCCATCACGACCGCGGCGCTGCGCAACCTCAGCTCCGACCAGCTCGACGCCCTGACCAGCGACCAGCTCCGCGCGCTGAGCAGCACCCAGGTCAATGCCTCACCACCGCCCAGATCAACACGCTGGGCACGGCCGACCTGAACAGCCTCACCAGCGGCCAGTTCGCCAACCTGTCGTCCACGCCAGGTGCAGGCGCTGACGAGCACGCAGCTCGCCAACCTGGCCACCGACAACCTCAATGCGCTGGGCACGGCCCAGTTCGCCGCGCTGACCTCCGCCCAGTTCGGCGCGCTGACCACCGGCCAGCTCGCCAAGCTCGGAGACCGCCGACCTGCGCGCGGTCACGACCGGCGCGCTGGCGGGCCTGTCGTCCGACCAGGTGGCGGCCCTCGCGAGCGATGCCGTCGGCTCGATGTCGACCGCGCCAGATCGCCGCCTTGACGACCGGCCAGCTCAAGGGCCTGACGACGGGCGACATGGTCGCCCTCACCTCCAGCCAGGTGGCCGCGCTGGGTTCCAACCAGGCCGGTGCCCTGTCCACCGCGCCAGCTCGCCGCCATCGAGACGGCGGACATCAAGTCCCTCTCGACCGGCGCGCTGCGCAACCTCAGTTCCGACCAGCTCGACGCCTTCACGAGCGACCAGCTCCGCGCGCTGAGCACGACGCAGGTCAATGCGCTGACCACCGGCCAGGTCAACACGCTCGGCACGGCGGACCTGAACAGCCTGTCCACCACCCAGTTCGCCAACCTGGCCACCGGCCAGGTGCAGGCGCTGACCAGCACGCCAGCTCGGCCAACCTCGCCACCGACAACCTCAATGCGCTGGGCACCGGCCAGTTCGCGGCGCTGACCTCCAATCCAGTTCGGCGCGCTGACCACCGGCCAGCTGGCCAAGCTGGAGACGGCCGACCTGCGCGCCGTCACGACCGGGCGCTGGGCGGCCTGAGCTCCGACCAGGTCGCGGCGCTGGCCAGCGATGCCGTGGGCTCGATGTCCACCGCGCAGATCGCCGCGCTGAGCACCAGCCAGATCAAGGGCCTGACGACGGGCGACATGGTCGCGCCTGACCTCGGCCCAGGTCGCCGCGCTGAACTCCAACCAGGCCGCGGCGCTGTCGACCGGCCAGATCGCGCCATCGAGACGGGCGACATCAAGGCCATCACGACCGCGGCCCTGCGCAACCTGTCCACCGACCAGATCGATGCGCTGACGAGCGACCAGCTCCGCGCGCTGACCTCCACGCAGCTCAACGCGCTGACCACGACGCCGCAGGTCGTCAACCTGACCACGGCCGACCTGAACGTGTTGACGACCACGCCAGATCGCCAACCTGTCGACCGGCCAGGTCCAGGCGCTGACCACCACCCAGCTCGCCAACCTGACGACCGACAACCTCAACGCGCTGGGCACGGCGCCAGTTCGCCGCGCTGTCGTCCGGCCAGTTCGGTGCGCTGACGACCGGCCAGCTCGCCAAGCTCGAAACCGCCGACCTGCGCGCGGTCACGACCGGCGCGCTCGCCGGCCTGTCGTCCGACCAGATCGGCGCGCTGGCCAGCGATGCCGTGGGCGCCATGTCCACCGGCCAGATCGCAGCGCTGACGACGGCCCAGGTCAAGGGCCTGACCACGGGCGACATGGTCGCGCTGACCTCCGGCCCAGGTCGCCGCGCTGAACTCCGCCCAGGCCGGCGCGCTGTCCACCGCCCAGCTCGCGCCATCGAGACGGGCGACATCAAGTCGATCACGACCGCGCGCTGCGCAACCTCAGCTCCGACCAGCTCGACGCCTTCACGAGCGACCAGCTCCGCGCGCTGTCGACCGCGCAGGTCAATGCGCTGACAACGAGCCAGGTCAACACGCTCGGCACGGCCGACCTGAACAGCCTCACCAGCAGCCAGTTCGCCAACCTGTCGACCGGCCAGGTGCAGGCGCTGACGACCACGCCAGCTCGCCAACCTCGCCACCGACAACCTCAATGCGCTGGGCACCGCGCCAGTTCGCCGGCGCTGTCGTCCAGCCAGTTCGGCTCGCTGACGACCGGCCAGCTCGCCAAGCTGGAGACGGCCGACCTGCGCGCGGTCACGACCGCCGCGCTGGGCGGCCTGAGCTCCGACCAGGTCGGTGCGCTGGCCAGCGACGCGGTCGGCTCGATGTCCACCGCGCAGATCGCCGCGCTCGGCACCAGCCAGATCAAGGGCCTGACCACGGGTGACATGGTCGCCCTGACCTCGGCCCAGGTCGCCGCGCTGAACTCCAACCAGGCGGGCGCGCTGTCCACCGCCCAGCTCGCCGCCATCGAGACCGGCGACATCAAGTCGCTGACGACCGCCGCGCTGCGCAACCTCAGCTCCGACCAGCTCGACGCCTTCACCAGCGACCAGCTCCGCGCGCTGACCACCACGCAGGTCAACAACCTCACCACGGCCCAGATCAACTCGCTGGGCACGGCCGACCTCAACAGCCTGACCAGCAGCCAGTTCGGCAACCTGACCTCCGGCCAGGTGCAGGCGCTGTCGACCACCCAGCTCGCAACCTCGGCACCGACAACCTGAACGCGCTGGGCACCGGCCCAGTTCGCGGCGCTGTCGTCCAGCCAGTTCGGCTCGCTGACCACCGGCCAGCTCGCCAAGCTGGAAACCGCCGACCTGCGCGCCGTCACGACCGCCGCGCTGAACGCGCTGAGCTCGGCCCAGGTCGCCGCGCTGGCCAGCGACGCCGTGGGCGCGATGTCCACGGCCCAGATCGCCTCGCTCGGTGCCAACCAGGTCGCCGGCCTGACGACGGCCGACATGGTCGCCCTCACCTCCGCCCAGGTCGCCGCGCTGACCTCCGGCCAGGTCGCGAACCTGAGCACGGCCCAGATCGCGGCGATCGAGACGGGTGACATCAAGTCCATCACGACCGCGGCCCTGCGCAACCTGTCCACCGCGCAGATCGATGCGCTCACCAGCGACCAGCTGCGTGCGCTGACGTCCACCCAGCTCAATGCGCTGACGACGGCGCCGCAGGTGAGTGGCTTCACCACCAGCGACCTCAACTCGCTCAGCACCGGCCAGATCGCCACGCTGTCCACCACCCAGGTCCAGGCGCTGACGAGCACGCAGCTGGCCAACCTCGCCACCGACAACCTCAACGCGCTGGGCACCGCCCAGTTCGCGACGCTGTCGTCCGCCCAGTTCGGCGCGCTGACCACCGGCCAGCTCGCCAAGCTGGAGACGCAGGACCTGCGCGCCGTCACGACCGGCGCGCTGGCGGGCCTGTCGTCCGACCAGGTCGCGGCGCTCGCGAGCGATGCGGTCGGCGCGATGTCCACCGCCAGATCGCGCGCTCGGCACCAGCCAGATCAAGGGCCTGACCACGGGTGACATGGTCGCCCTGACCTCGGCCCAGGTCGCCGCGCTGAACTCGAACCAGGCCGGCGCGCTGTCCACCGCCCAGCTCGCCGCCATCGAGACCGGCGACATCAAGTCGCTGACGACCGCGGCGCTGCGCAACCTCAGTTCCGACCAGCTCGACGCCTTCACGAGCGACCAGCTCCGCGCGCTGAGCAGCACGCAGGTCAATGCGCTGACCACCGCCCAGGTCAACACGCTGGGCACGGCCGACCTGAACAGCCTGTCCAGCAGCCAGTTCGCCAACCTGTCCACCGGCCAGGTGCAGGCGCTGTCGACCACCCAGCTCGCCAACCTCGGCACCGACAACCTCAACGCGCTGGGCACCGGCCCAGTTCGCGGCGCTGTCGTCCAACCAGTTCGGCTCGCTGACCACCGGCCAGCTCGCCAAGCTGGAAACGGCCGACCTGCGCGCCGTCACGACCGCGGCGCTGAACGCGCTGACGTCCGCCCAGGTGGCCGCGCTGGCCAGCGACGCGGTCGGGCGCGATGACGACGGCCCAGGTCGCCTCGCTGGGCGCCAACCAGGTCGCCGGCCTCACGACCGGCCGACATGGTCGCGCTGACCTCGGCGCCAGGTCGGCGCGCTGACCTCCGCCCAGGTACAGAACCTGAGCACGGCGCAGATCGCCGCGATCGAGACGGGTGACATCAAGGCCATCACGACGGCTGCGCTGCGCAACCTGTCCACCGCGCAGATCGATGCGCTGACGAGCGACCAGCTCCGCGCGCTGACCTCCACCCAGCTCAACGCGCTGACGACGGCGCCGCAGTTCAGCGGCATCACGACCAGCGACCTGAACTCGCTGAGCACCGGCCAGATCGCCACGCTGTCGACCACCCAGGTCCAGGCGCTGACGAGCACGCCAGCTGTCCAACCTGACCACCGACAACCTCAACGCGCTGGGCACCGCCCAGTTCGCGACGCTGTCGTCCGGCCAGTTCGGCGCGCTGACGACCGGCCAGCTCGCCAAGCTCGAAACGCAGGACCTGCGCGCCGTCACGACCGCGGCGCTGCCGGCCTGTCGTCCGACCAGGTCGCAGCGCTGGCGAGCGATGCCGTGGGCTCGATGTCGACCGCCAGATCGCCGCGCTGAGCACCGGCCAGATCAAGGGCCTGACGACGGGCGACATGGTCGCCCTGACCTCGGCCCAGGTCGCCGCGCTGAACTCCGCCCAGGCCGCGTCCCTGTCCACGGCCCAGCTCGCGGCCATCGAGACGGCGACATCAAGTCCATCACGACCGCGGCGCTGCGCAACCTCAGCTCCGACCAGCTCGACGCCTTCACGAGCGACCAGCTGCGCGCGCTGAGCAGCACCCAGGTCAATGCGCTGACCACCGCCCAGGTCAACACGCTGGGCACGGCCGACCTGAACAGCCTCACCAGCGGCCAGTTCGCCAACCTGTCGTCCACGCCAGGTGCAGGCGCTGTCGACCACCCAGCTCGCCAACCTGGCCACCGACAACCTCAACGCGCTGGGCACCGGCCCAGTTCGCCGGCGCTGTCGTCCAACCAGTTCGGCTCGCTGACCACCGGCCAGCTCGCCAAGCTGGAGACGGCCGACCTGCGCGCGGTCACGACCTCGGCGCTGAATGCGCTGAGCTCGGCCCAGGTGGCGGCGCTGGCCAGTGACGCGGTGGGCTCGCTGTCCGCCACCCAGATCGGCTCGCTCGGCTCCAACCAGGTGGCCGGCCTGACGACCGCCGACATGGTCGCCCTGACCTCGTCGCAGATCGGTGCCCTGACCGCCACGCAGGTGGATGCGCTCTCGACCGGCCAGATCGCCGCGATCGAGACGGGCGACATCAAGTCGCTGACGACCGCCGCGCTGCGCAACCTCAGTCCGACCAGCTCGACGCCTTCACCAGCGACCAGCTGCCGCGCGCTGACCAGCACGCAGGTCAATGCG